TTTTTTCTAATTGTCGAAGGCTTGCGTAAGCTCACAATTCATTCAATACGTTTGTGAGAACGTTTTGATATAGAACTGACTTTTTTCTGAACATGAAATAAGTTAAAGAGTATGATTAGTGCTCTAGTGCCGAATATGGAAATGCGCACTCTTCCAGACTAATTATCTTTTGAACAACGCAATAAATGAAATGAATCTGGGTTTTACAGGATTCACATCCACAATAAAAGCTTGTACTCTTCACCACACCGCGATAGCCCATTCCAAGTGCCGCAAAACCTTAGTGTTTAGAAGATTTGCAAAACGAGATACCTGCTTTCAATTCCAAGCACAACTAGTGACCTCCTTACAAACAGAGAATTCTGCAATAGACGCCAAAATGCCATCACCTTTCCCTCTGAAGGGTTTGGCAAACCTCCCAATTGTCCTAAGCTACAGTAGCCAATTCCGCCCCGGAACGCCGCATGAGGACATTTCGAAAGAGCGCGGGCCTGCGTGCGCGCCGGGCTCGAGGTCGGCGTTCATTTCGTGTGTTGCATTCACGGTGATAACTTGTCATGGCAACTCGCGTTTATATTGGTCGTCTCTCATATCGTGCTTCTGAACGCGATATCGAGCACTTCTTTCGTGGATACGGACGTATTCGCGACATCGTCCTGAAAAATGGCTTTGGATTTGTGGTTAGTTTCACTTGTTTCCTAGCATTGACCCGCGTTAGTATTTTTAATTGCAATTCAGGAATTCGATGAACCACGTGATGCTGATGATGCGGTGTACGATTTGAATGGAAAAGAACTGGCTGGAGAGCGTGTGATGTTGGAATTCTCCAAGCGTGGTCCCAGGACTGGAGGGCGCGGCTTTGATCGATACCCTCCTCCGAGAAGAGAGGCGAGGTCACTTGAGTAAGGCTAAACTATAAAAAATCTGGGCAAGAGCTGAAAGTGCTTGTATCTTTCTATAAGTTCAGTATTGGAAAGCATTACCTTCAACCATTAGTTCGTCGTAATGCCATGAACTTTTTCTTGAAGATTCTGACGTAATTCTTTGGCATAGTACAGGATCCGATAACTCCTAGTTTCTGCAGTAAACTCGCGATGCAGTAAACAATTCTCATTTCAAGCATGCGAAATCACTGGGCTTTCTCGCTCGCGAATGGAATGAGAGATAATGGTTTTATGGCTTAGTGTTTTGTCCCTTAGTGAGGCCATCATATACTTATTGAAGGAAGCGGCACATGCCGCTCATGCATTTAAGATAGTTGAAGGAATTTCGGACTCATCTCAAATTGCCAAATATTAAATCATGCCCATCTGTGAACTAGTAGCACTAATTTTATTTTCCCGTTCAAGTTTCGAGTCAAGCTTACAGGACGTTATCGTGATCGGTGGCAGGACAAGAGGATGCAAAGACTTGGCCTATGCCTTTGGGATAGCCTAAGGAATTTCGGACCTCCTCGCCTCTAATTGCCAAGTATTACCATGCAAATTGCTTTACCTACGGGTCCCAATATTCTTACTGCCTTTGTATGGTTAGAGGGGAAATTAGTTTTAGATATGATTCAAATTGAGATATAATTATACAATTTGTGCAGAAAAGCTACTGAAAGTATCTAGTAGTCATACTATTCCAAATCAAAGATGGTCAGTCCTATGAACACATCATCACATCGTACAGAACGCTTTTGACATTCAATTGAAAAGCGAGCACCAAATTTTCTTTAAAATCTCCTTTCTCTATAAATAGTTGATGTTGATTCGCTGCGTCAAATCTTGCCTACACTTGAAAGTAGGGAATCAGAATCCAAATGTTTATTGGCATCTATGCTTCAAATGCGCCGCTTGATATTCTGCTTCTAACCCTATTTGCTTATTTTGAAGTTTTACGTTTCCCCATATTTTCAATGCATTCGAAGATCCATGTATTTTCTTGGTTTCTTTCGGATGGGGAATGGCCTTCACCGGTGCAGGCAACAACTAGTGGCGCGAGGAGACCGAAGTTCCTTAGGTATCCCACAGGCAAGGCGGCAGGTCTTTGCAGTCTCTTGCACGTCCTCCATCGTAATCGACTCACCTTGAGTACTTTGGGGAGCACGATGTTCGCTAGCATTAACCTCGAGCAGATTTTTGCTATATGTTGACTAATCTGTCATTACTGCAAGGGATTAATGGAGTGTTATGACAACTGTAGTAAGAAACTGGTGTTGAGATTTGTGAAAAAATTCGAGGTAGCGTTGTGCGCAATTTTGTAGCGTAAGAATCTCGCAAAATTAGGTTTCCTTCCCAATTTTTTGGTTTTTTGCGGGAATTGATTTTTTGATTGTAATGTGGAGGTAATGCCTGAAAAATCTTGCGTTACAAGTGTACTATTTCATGCTCAGCCGCAACTCCTCGATGTCTTAATTGCTTTTCTTTGTTGAATAGCAAGCAAAATTTGTGTAGTTTTAGGAACTTTCAGCTCAAAAAATGGTAATTGCATCTGTATCAATTTGTGAATTTATTGGCTTTTTTTACAGTTCTCGCTATGGACCTCCAACACAGACACGCCATCGTATGATTGTTGAGAATCTATCGACTAGGATTTCGTGGCAGGTGGATTCTTACTACATGATTAGATTTCTCTAATTTTTCAGGTAGTCCCCGGGTGATGTGTTCGTGTTGACGAGTAGCGTCGTGAATTGCGTATGGCGGGGCCCGGAGCACTATTTTTTCACAATATTTTTGAATCGTTAGGCCTTGTTGACCCTAAATTAATCATTAAAACTAAATCTCAGCTCGTTGACGTACGGTGAGCGAGCCACTCGTGCATGACGGTCGCGAATGTGTCGATTTGGCGGTGGTGAGAGCGTCGGAGGTAGCGCAGCGCGTGACGGTCTTATGGCTGCCGTCCGACGATTTCGTATCGCTTGAGCGCCGGCGGCGTCTCCAACCTGTCAATGATTTCGCATACTGTTCGAGTTGTGTTCGCCGCTCTGGGTGTTCGCGAGGGTGTGGCGTGACCTCCCGTTGAGACGTGACGGTGCCCTTTCGATATCCATCAATAAACGGTTAGTGTCATGCCCATGAAAACAAGCGAACGCTTGAGTATCAAGACTAGGTATTCTTTTGCTTTCCTTATCGCGCGGTATATAGCTATATTATAGTATATAGCTTGGAAGGGCAATCTCGCCTGCACAACTCCATGTTGATGTTGACACCGCGGCCTTAGTAATGAGAAAGTGACTTTTTAAAGCACCGAGAAAGCATATACGTTATGCAACAGATCGGTCGTGAGGAACTCATCAGACTGTAGGAGTATGCATTCGACTGGAAGCAGGCTGTAAGTGTTGGAGCGTGTAGTAGATAGACTTTTATGGACAGTGGGATTTGGTGCTGTTGTTTTGAATATAATTAGTCCTAGGTTGCAAATGTCATCGTCAAATTAGCTCCAGTATATGCAACACCGTTTGTTCTTTTGTATCCAAACTATTTCGCTCAGATGATATCTTTGAGATATGACATTTTGATGCTAGAAAAGCACGTCAATGTAATAGTATATGTTAAGTCTGCGGTGTCAAAAGTCAGCACAAAGTCAGCACCCCTAATTAGTTTCTCCTTTTTGTGGGAATGGGAATGTAAGTCATACCTGTCAAAATTTTTACCATTTGCAGGATCTGAAAGACCTCATGCGCAAAGCTGGATGCGAAGTAACTTTTGCCGATGCACACAAAAATGAAAGAAATGAAGGGTAAGGATGCAATTGCCTTAATCTTACTTCCCTCTTTTCTTCCTTTTTTCTGTAGCAAATGTTGTCAACCCTCGCGTTGCCGTTGACGGAATTTTTCTTCAGAGTGGTTTGTTTTGCAACTCGCGAAGATCTGGAACGTGCTTTGGATAAGTTACAAGGCGAAGAAATCAATGGACGCAAGCTAAAACTGATTGATGATTCGGAAAAAAGGAGCAGCAGCCGTTCTCGTGACCGAAAGCGCTCAAGAAGCAGGAGGTTGGTTTTGTAGGTAAAATGACCGCTTGATTCAATTTATATTTCCAGCCGCAGTCGCAGTCGTTCTCGCTCTCCATCGCGCTCAAGAAGCCGTTCGCGCTCAAGGAGTGTCAGCAAGTCGCGCTCTCGATCTGTTTCTCGCTCACGTTCGCGCTCTCGTAGCGCATCACCAAAGAAGGAGGAAAATGGCTCGAGGTCAAAGTCCCGATCTCGCTCAAGGAGCCAGTACGTCGTTTTTATTTGCGTTCGTTTACAATTCGTTATCTTCGTGTCTTTAGGTCTCGAGATGGTTCTCGTCACTCGGCATCTCCTGCTGGAAACGGCGATGGAGAAGCTGACATGCGATCGCGCAGTCCAACGCCTCCCAATGATGATTAAATAAAGTTTTGTTAGAAATCGGTGTATGATTCGCTCTAAAATTGAAGAATTTATAAGTTGTTATTGATTTTGATCCGAGTAGTTAGGTTCATTGTGTATGTATCTTGTGTCGTTTTGTCGATTATTGTCGTGTTATTTCATTCTGTTTTATAGATCTCTTCCTTAATGTTCGTATTCTTTTTTCTCCCCATATAACGTATTAGTGATTTTTCGAATATTTGATAATGAATGTAAAGATTTTATGCATGGGAAATCTTATTTGTGATAGAAGGTGGAGGTTGTATGTCATGTTGGGGATTATCTCCTATACACATTTAGTATCTATCCATTCCTGACGACGAGAAGTATGGCCTAAATAAGCGGTCGGTGATCCCGCCTTCTTTTGGCGTCAGGTGTGAGTTTTGGGTTCGTGTTTGACTCGAAATACTACGCGAAAGTTTTGAGTTTGGAAGATTTCTGGAAAAAGTGATTTGTACTAAAACATGGGAAGGAATGTATGGATGAACTGCCCATAGCCCTGAATAAACAGTAAAGAAAGCTGCCTTGACAACTGCGCAACTTTGACAGGCCTATTGTAACGAATTATTCCCTATTACCTCTTGAGTCTCAAATGCTTCTATAGTTTGATTAAATTACAATAACTAATCCCAGCTGCATACCTTTCAAAGTTCTTAGACCGTCTCAAAAGGAATGGTGATAGGGCAAATTTAACAATTATGCTACACCTCGTGGCCCTTTCCATCTCTAACTGCCAAAAAATACACCTCCTCATCAGTTTTCCTAATATTCGCAGTTCCTATGTACTAAACAAGATCTACTTCTTCTCGCTATTGACCTTATATTTCTCAAACTTCAATCTTCTAGTTCGCTAAAAGTCAAGTGGTGTCCGGGCCCAGACACTGGGTTATTCAGACTCTATTCAGGGTTCTATCCTTTCTACGCTCATTAGTGAAAGTGATCAGAGCCATGGCACTATGTATCTGGTCGCGGGCGTCAGACGCCAGAGGAAGCCGCATTAAGCTGCGGTAATCAATAAGCACCATATGCGTGGAAGCTCGCAAGCTGAGGTTATAAATCGTCACGTATGAATGGAACTTAAGGAATGTGTTGGTTCTGTGCGAAGGATGTGGCTCAAAAGAAGGCGTATACAGATACGTGAGGGATTTTTATGGAAATTTCCTGTTTGAGGTTTTTTAGAACTTATTTTGAGCCACAGTTTTGATTTTGGTTTATAGGCAATAAAACCCGCTCGCGCATAGATGCGATGAGTGTTTCACAGTTGCGGGGGTTTAAAGGATAGTGTCCCAGCTAATTCGACTCCAGGTTTTCCACCTTCTCTGGACCATTTCGTGCTGAACACGCACAGCAAATTCAGTTATTGTGAAACAAAAAAAACAAAGATTCCAGGTCTTCGATCAAGAGGGACAAGGGAAAATAGTAATTTCACATCTGTTTTGGCTCTACGATCGCAGAAGTCGCTAAAAAGCACTGCTTTTGAGAGCAGCCAAAGACGGGCGGTGCTGAAAAGGGAATGGAGGGCGTGTTTTAGATATGTCTTATATTAGAGATTATCTGACAACGAAACGCCAAATCAGTTCGTATTAGCGACTAACGGTCGCAATAATACGTGGCCGTCGTAGGAGCAGGGAGCGGGGCTCCCAGCGCCAGGCTCGATCGCATTGGATTTGATCGATCACAGCGAGATCCAGAGGAAATCAGTGGGCAAAGTGCCTAGAACGGACAGACGGGCTAAACATCTGCAACAACATTTCCTTACTTAACATCTTGAATCATTCACCTGAATTGTAGAAATTATATTGCCAGAGAGTCGAAGAGTCCCTGTAATTATCTGAGAGAACCCAAATCCTTAATTTTGCTGCCCTTGAATCGGGATGCACAGTGAGAGAGATTAGAAAGAGCTTATTGATGGTTGTTTTAGGAAGAGTTAGCCGAGTGGTTATTGCTCTACTTTTCCAGGATCTCATTTCGGTGAGGTCAGGGTTCATTCTCTCTGGGACATAATTCTTGCCTGCGATTCCAGCGTCAGGCTTACCCTCAGGGTGCGCGACAAGCCGGC